TATTTATTTCAAAACCCCCTTCCCCTCCCCCTTTTCTGATGAAGGGTCTAGGCCCGAAACGTCAGCCTCTCTGCTCCTATGATGCTGCTTGGCCTGCTGTGTTCATCCAGCCCTGCACCTTGTTGTCTCGGATTCTCCAGCATCTGCAGTTCCTACTATCTCTGAACCAATTTAGGAATGTCAGTTGGATTCAGAGTATGTGGACTGAAAGCTACATGTATTAATAGAAGGGTCATGTCCTTTCCAGACAGAATGATCATGTACACACACTGTTCCTGTTTTAACACAACAAATTATGGCACAGCCATTCACTGGTTGATTAATGAGGGCATTGCCCTGATAAAGAGTCAGGATGGTTTAATAGTTCAGGAAACAAGGCTGTTAACTATCAGTAAATGTAACTGGGTAAATCCTCCATGGTAATGCTTCTATGAATCACCACTCTTCTCTCCGCTCAAATTTATATTATTGCAATGTGTCCTGACGAGTGAAATATCAAAAGCTTTGGCAAAATGCAGTCCATTTTCAGCAATACATGAGCTTTAAAACATTCTAGGCTCCTTTCTAATACTGACAACTACCCCCAAATTAACAGGCTTCTCAGAGTCAATATTTTTCTAATTCCCTGCTTAAGGTTTGTTGATTTTATATTTAAACACTCACTATCAAATTGAAATACCTGATTTCTATAATCTTATCCGATATCTTATACCGATATCTCTACCATTTCATATTCCAAGTCACTACATTGCAGGTTCTGTATCCTTTTCTCATCTAATAACAAACGTGCTTATAACAAACCTTGGAATTTCATCCAGTTTCTGTGGAACAACATCTGTTCACAGCACTTCTCTTTCTCTTACATTTGGACTGGGAATCTCATTCTCTGAGGAATGCTGGGCTCTACATCATTAAAAACCCTTCCTCTTATTGAAGCAGCAGAATTATTGAGCTACTTTTCTGGTTTCTTTACCTTACAGAATAAAGTTGATAAAAATCAATTTATTTCAATTGCATATGTACATAGGGTATCCAAAACAGATTTACTAAGAAAACACCTGTGACTCCAAACCTTATTTTCCTCTTAACACATTAAGAAGTTGCCATCAGTCTATATCGCCTTTCCAACAGACCTGATGTGATAGCTTTTAGAGACAGGATAAAACATACTTTGGATTCTCATGAAGATGGAGAACTCAATTTCTGGCTGCTGGAATACTATGCACTTACTTCCAACTTACACAGTCAATTTAACTTTGCCCTTGGAAGAAAAGGTTGAGCATACAGTTAGCACTGGAAAGATGTAAAATAAGTACTGAAATAAAGTCTGATTCAATATTGATGCTGAGACTTATGTTACAGTTACATAAAGCTCTTTTTAGACCCTAAAACAGAAATTACTGAGGAAGGGTCACTGGACACAAAACATTAACTCTGATTTCTCAACACAGATACTGCCAGACCTGCTGAGCTTTTCTAGCAATTTCTGTTTTTGGTTCCGATTTCCAGCATCCACAGTTCTTTTGGTTTTTCTCTTTAGACCCTGTTTGGAGTACAGACCTTAGCTCTAGGTACAGCACCCCAGAAAAGACAAATTCAGCCTGGGTGAGGTGAAACCTGGATTCAAGGCTATTATAACATCTGGGTATTTTCAGCACTTCCCTTAAATGTTTAGACTTCCAACATATGCATATTTGGCCTTTGTAAACTATGATCAGGCCAGTCTTATATTCTTACTTTGTTCAGTATTAAGGAGTGATCTAACTGAGGAGTTTAAGATGACCAAAATAATGGATAGCGCAGACAGAATTTTTTCTTTCTCTCCTGGGAAGTCTAGAACAAAGGACGTTAACCCTAAAGTTAGAAATAAACTAATTAAGGGTAGTGTCAGGAAACACAGCGTAGTGGAAATCTGAAACCATCTCCTCCAAAAAGCTATTGAGAATGAAAGCTAATTAATAATTTAAAAACTAAGACTGATTGAAGAAGGGTCTAGGCCCGAAATGTCAGCTTTCCTGCTCCTCTGATGCTGCTTGGCCTGCTGTGTTCATGTGCTCTACATCTTGTTATCTCTGATTGATCTTTGTTAGGTTAACAGCATTAAAGGCTTGCAGAACAAAGCTGGTAGATGGAGTTACAATACAGATCAGCTGCAATCTAATGGAATGGTAAAATAGGCTTAAGGAGCTAAATGATTGATTTCTGTTATGACTTTCCCTTTAAGAGCCTTTGGGGCGAACAAGGATTTTTTTAAAATCTAGATGTAACATTTGAAAAGAACTCGCACAATTAATGGATCATTGGTAAAAAGTATTTAAAAGTGACAGTGACTACAAACGAAATGATTTTTTAATTACACTCCCACAACCTCAATCCCCGAAAAAACACATCTAAAAGTTTTATAGCATTTGCAATCTCCATACTGCAAACTGAATTTTATTAACTTTCTGCAGTGTTCTGAAAGAGAAGTATTTCATTGGTTAGATATAATGGTTAAAGCACAGGACATTCTCTCAGCAATTTATTCTCTGCTTGAAAACAGCACTGACATAAATATTCCCAGCCTAAGCAAGAGCCTTTTGAGCCTACCTTTCCTCCAGCTGGAAGTTAGTGGAGATGTGATCAGGAATGTGCATGAAATATTCATAATCTCTGAGAAGACGCAATGGTTGAATCAATGTACTGCCCCCCATTTTAACCCGTACAGGACAGGAAGATCCTACACTGAATCTTGGTTGAGGGTCAAAGTATAGTTACTACAAGTGGCTTCTGCAGTCCTGTGTTACCATGGAAGAAATTAGTCAGCATTATGGATGGAATCTTCCTGGTTTCATGGGAGATGGCTTCAAGGTGGGGCGGAGAGGAATTTCAAAGAAAGAGAAGTCAGTTCAGGAAATTTACTGTGTTCCTGCCTTTTGGTGATCTTTCCAAACTTGGGGCATCACTGGCACAGACTACCTGCCCAACAGAAGCAGTAGTGCGTAATTAACTGCACATTTGTTGGCTTACTGGGGAATCTTCCCAGCAGTGGTCCCCTCCCAGGATCAAATCCAGCAGTTGTCTGAAAGCATCTTGTGGCAGGTGGCAGGGGTGTGGGGAGGGATCCATGAAGCTTCCTACAGTGACACCATCCCAACATGAGAGCAGCTTTGATCAGTAGGTTTGGGTTTTGTTTGTCCAAAACAGATCTAAACCTCTCCACAGGGTGCCTCAAGTTTTGAATTCCCTGCAATAAGTTAGGACATTTTGTCTTTGTCCACCCTATCGAACTGCTTCATAAATTTTAAAGACATTTATTAACTCACCTCTCGGACTTCTTTCAAGACTTGAAACAGCCACATTCATCTCAGCTGGCCTTTCCTGATTGTTCAGAATCCATCAGCTCCAGTATCTTCCACGTAAATCACTTTGCACTTTCCTAATGCCTCTGTATGTATGCTTTTCATTATAAGGAGACCAGGATTGTACACAGTACTCAAAATGCACTCTAATCAAGGTGCTATACAAAATTTTAACAGGTTGAATCAGAATCAGGCTTGGCACAGTTATTGACACTTACTGCTGAGTTTCAATGATGAATTGTGAGGGTGGGGTGGGTTTGGGAAGAGACAGGAGACAGGACCTGACAACCACCGACTGGAACTCTTGTCAGCCAACTGCCACAGTGTTGCTTGTGGGAGCTTACTCTGTGTAAATTGATCACATAAGAACATAAGAACTCGGAGCAGGAGTAGGCCATCTGGCCCCTCGAGCCTGCCCCACCATTTAATAAGATCATGGCTGATCTTTGAGACTCAGCTCCACTTACCCGCCCACTCGCCATAACCCTTAATTCCTTTACTGTTCAAAAATTTATCTAGCCTTGCCTTAAAAACATTCAGCGAGGTAGCTTCAACCGCTTCACTGGGCAGGGAATTCCACAGATTCACAACCCTTTGGGTGAAGAAGTTCCTCCTGACCTCACCATGTTTTCTACATCACAACAACGTTTTCACAAGGAGTTAACCTTTTCTAATGAAACCTTGGCATATAGTCACCAGCACTATTTCACCAAAACATGAGACTGTGTTACTGAAACTAATCATTTGTTGTGGATTTTCTGCACATTTTTTTCCATATCCCCTTCGCTATTAATTCATTGTTTTGAAAAAAAGTATTTTATTGGATCTAAAGTGCTTTGGGATATCGACAGTTTGTGAAAGGTGCTGTATAGATAATGTATACAGGACATGTCTGTTTCATTTCCTCTGTACAAATGCAAGATTTTGTTCCTTGCTCTGTGTTATGAGGGCTTGGACAGGAACATCCATAACAATGGCTCTATACTGAACTTTCCTCTGTTAATTTCCTTTTTTTATTAGCAATGAAAGTGTGGAATAGAAAAGCTGGTCAACAACATTCTAGAAAGTATAGACATTCACAGTGGTGTATAAGGATGGAGATGGCTCAAGCGCAAAAATTACTTTAGAGTTGCTCTAAATACTCAAGGCACCTGTTTGCGTGTAAATGTGTAACTGAATAAAAAATGCACTGAAGGTTGAACATTTAACTGAAGTGAATGAAGACTATTTCTGTAACCTTCCTGATATTTGCAAAACACTTTGTCCAAACTTTTAAACAAAGTTACCCCGTTTACAAGTTTCTCAAATTAACAGTCCTGTCAATCAGGAAAATAAAAAATAATTTAAATATTAACTTCTGTCAGCTTGCTTTAAACAAAAAGATCACAGTTTCATTAAGCACACTGAGCCAGCACAAGAAGCTAACCTTTTCTAATGGAACGCTTGTCATACAGTCACCGGCATCATTATACTAAAACATGTGACTATGTTACTGAACCTAATCGTTTGCAGTGGATTCTCTGCACGTTTTTTCCATGCTCCCTTCTCAGTTAATTCATTAACTGTTCACATCCTGTTACAGTGGCAATTTTAAGTGGTTGGTGACCCTGTTAATGCAAGACCTATCATTACCCCTTAACTTCTTCTTCTGTTAAAGGCAATGGCCTTTGTGTCCCCTCATTTATTCTCTACCAGATCTTGAATCAATGTAACTGTTGCTCCAGTTTGTGACCTGTTCCAGATCACTTGAGCTGCCAAACTTTAACTAGCTGTTAATATTTGCAGGCTTGAATTGATTGCCATTTCCAAGTGGTACTAATCAGAACACCAGAAAGAAACACTAGGTGGCGATCTACTACCAGCATTCTCCTCCGCTGTAGACAACAAGCAGTATTATTTCCTGTAGCCAATAGGCAACCATTGCACAGTTTACCGGCCATGAAAAGTCTTTTGAGTTGGGTCATCATAACATAGCAAACACTTATCGAATGAAGACATCTAACAAAAATAAAAACATTGAACAAACTGAACGGGCTGACCAGAGTTTTCAGGGAGACTAGACTTTTGCAAAAATTTGGTCATGTTTACCCAAAGTTCATAATGTTGATCTCATCCTTAGATATTTTGACAAAATATTAAAAAAAAAAAAAAAAAAATCGATAAATTTGCTATTTTAGTTTGTTTAGAATCCTTTGGATGAGTGCTAGATATAGTGTGTTCCACAGGCAAAGAAAATATATGAATTTTGACATTGTCCAGTATGTAGGTTTGGTTGTGTGATTACTAAATTATTCACTGAATTGACTAACTTGTGTAGACTTCATCTGAACAGCTAGTTTTTAAATCCAAATCAACAACTTCCTTAATCTAGAGATTAATCAGTCCACTTGGTACCTCTACATCTTATAATCAGGGCAAACAAGGCTTTTCATTGTCCCTGAAACCTTTACTGCAAAATTGCAACACCCAAGCATCAAGTCATGATGACACATCAACACAGGTGTGTGTTTAGGGATGTTGGTGGTGAATGTAGAAATACTGTGGGGGCTTCTGTGGGACACTATGGCACATTAAATCGCTTGTCCTACTCAGAATCTAGCAGAGAGTGCTTAAAATGTGGAAAGGAGTGTTTGTTGTTTTACAAAAGTGAAAGGCTCTGAAGTATTAATATTGAGGAGTGCCTTAAGTGCTACCTACTGTGATGACATGGGCACATATGGATTTGTGGAGAGAACAGTTTTGGATCTTGACGGAGTAAGGCCTAACATCCAGGTCCTCTTCATTGCTTTTGAAACAATGTCGATGTACCTTGTAACTACTTCACAACGAGCAGTTATCAAGTACATATTCAATACAAGAACATCCTTTCGTTAGAGCAGTAAGTGGTTTTCCTCTACCACAGGGGACCAAGCTAACCGTGTGGATGCCTGCACTGAAAGAAGATGGTGGTAGCAAATCCACAACATGGTGCGGTGAGGTGTAATCTCTGTTTAGCCACACATACAGCATTTGCTGCTGATGCACCCACCTGAGCAGTAGAACACACACGCACCACCTCCTTCGACGCCCCAGGGGGTGGGATGATTTTGTTGAACAGTCCAGTCCTGAGGCGAGGAGTTGGAACCAACAATGTCTTTCTGGCCTAAAAGTAGGAGATGGTACACAAGTTATATTCCGACAAATACACCTTGTTACACCACTACTTTATAGTACTGTACCCACAAAGGCCAAAGTACCTTGGCAACATGTGTCTTCTACTTCCATGCTGTAAAATTGAAAAGTGGCAATAACAGCATCTGTGGGATGTCCCACTATTCTGATCTCATTTCGCAAACCATCTTTCTTGGCAGCTTTGAAGGCTCGTTTCTACACAGATATTCACTGAATGGATCATAACAATAGTTTTTGTTTCGATTACATACACTTCTGCTCCTGAAGGCATGTCATTGTACTGTACAGTATCCCAATAACCTTCTTTATCTTATCAAACGGCAATTGTTAATTTACATGGCTAATTCACTGGGTTGTTAGTGTATGTCAGTGAGTCATTCAACCAGCAATGCAGTATGCCAAACTTCCCTTTGTCCAACATTCAGATTTAGAAAGGGTCATTGGAAAGTGATCAAAAGAAGGATGTGCAGAACCGAATGGAAGAGGCCTCATTTGCCTTTTTTAAAGGCACTGTTGTCTAGCATTGTATTAAAAGGGAAGTCTGCTACTTATCAGTTTAAGAAAAAAAAGTACAGAAAGAAAGTAGTCAAAAACGCAGACTAAACTCAAAGCATAAACCATTTTAACTCGCTCAAAATTGCATCCAAATGCTTACCTCAATGTTACTATGTATTTAGACGTCAATGTCCTGAAGTTGATAGTTCGAATAGATTGAAATAACAGGATATGAGGCAGCTGTGGGTCAATTTGCCATACCTTGAAATGACAAAATGCACGTTTGTATTTGAAGTTTCTCTCAGAGATCTCTTCAAACAGCAGACAGTCAGCAAAATGGACAGGCTTCCAGAGAAAGAAAGCAAGATAAATTGGGGGTTATGAGAAGCCTGTGATCAGCTTCTCATTCTACCATTTCTCGTGGTTGAGGAATGCAAGTCTCACATGCCCACTATCTGACCCATCAGGAAATTGCGGCCAACTGTGCGCGTGGCTCTGCAGTGGAGGAACAATAACAACCATACAGTTCAAGTGTGTGCCTGTTCATTTGTGCCTAGGATTGTAGATACCTTCTGCTGCGTTTGGGGGTGTGTGTGTGTGTAACTGTGTGTCAGCGAGAGTGTTGGTCTGTACAGCAGCAAGTGCAATTGTGTGTCCATCAAAAGGAAGTACAAATCCAAATAAGGCAAAATACAGAAGTCACTACATAGTCCAGTAGTGGACCCTCACAGTGTGCCACAGATGGGGCAGATGGTTTTGGAACAAGGAGGTGCGAGAGATGCTCAGGTTGCTGTATGGTCTTTCTACTGTTTAAGCTTGGTCTCCTCCTGATCCTTGGCACTATTGTGGATGCTTCTTCTCCAGTTTGGATGGGTCTTAGGTACAAGATTCCAAGCGTTAGGTTGAAATGTTACATTTGAGCTGGCTGTGAGAACATCCCTAAAACATTTCTGATGATCTCTGGTCATCATTTGTTATGAAGAAGCTTATAGTAGAGAGCTTATTTTGGAAGTCTTTGTTAGGCTTACAGATGAGACAGCCCCTCCAGAGCAGTTGATTGACCATAACCAGTGCCTCAATAATGGGGATACTAGCTTGAGAGAGGACACTGAAATTGGAGTGCCTATGTTGCTAGTGAACTTGCAGGATTTTGTGAAAGCAACACTAGCAATATTTCTCAAGAGGTTTGAAGTGTCTACTATACATTGCCAATGTCTCTGATACATACAGGATGACTGGTAATACTTCTACACTGCAGACAATGAGCTTGGTGCAGGATTTGAAATCCTGGCCTTCAAGTCTTTCTTCATCAGACAGCCAAAGGCAGAGCTGGTACTTGAGGCATTGAGTTCATCCCCAATATCAGCTCTCACAGACAGGAGGCTCTGAGGGTATGAAAATTGTTCCACACTGTCCCATGGCTCACCTTGGATCTTGACAGACCAGGGGTGCAGTGTTCTAGGTCTCATGGAATTGTTCCATTCCAGTATGAAGCTACCTGAAGTTGCATGCAAAGGAAAACAGAGAAGAACAATGGTGCACTTGTACTAGGTCTACTTGGATGCAATGGTGAGGATCACAGCTCGCAAATTATTGTGCACAAACAGGGTGGTGATGAATTTCTGCAAGTAGCCAAATTTATCAAGGCTACCACCTCCAAGGAGTGCACTGCATTCCTGCTAATCCGAAGGCATGGTGGCTCAGTGTTTAGTACTGCTGCCTCACTAATTGGCTGTGGAGTTTGCACATTCTCCCAGTGTCTGCGTGGGTTTTCTCCAGGTGCTCTGGTTTCCTCCCACAGTCCAAAGATGTGCAGGTTACATGGATTGGCCGTGCTAAGTTGCCCGTAGCATCCAGGAATGTGCAGGCTGGTGGATTAGCCATGGGAAATGCAGGCTTACAGGCATAGGGTTGGGGGAGCATCTGGGTGGGATGTTCTTCAGAGGGCTTGTGTTGATTGGACAGGCCGAATGGCTTGCTTCCACACTGTAGGGATTCTATGACTCTAATCCCACTTTCCATTGTGGTAACATGAAATCAGGAAACAGTAACAAGTTCACTTTAAAATCATTGAAACTGCACAGCAGACAAATAGTTGTGTAGCAGCTAGAAAACTCAAGATATCAGCAAACAACATTTGAGATTGGAGGCAGCTCTCTGTGCAGATGAGGCAGATCCCTCCAACTAAATGAGCAAACCAAGGAAAGTCTAGCATCTGGTCACAACTAGACGACAAAAAGGTGTACAATATAGTAATGGAAGCTGCCAGGATGGGCTCTCTAGCATCTATCCAAATCCTTGCCCTGAAATAAGCAACAAAACAAAAGTATTGCAGATTTCAAAGCCAGCTCTAGATGGTGGACCGGGTTTATGAGGAGAAACAATTCCGTACTGTAGTGGAAGATCAAGATTTCACAGCATCTCCTAGAAGAACTTGATGATTGGCTGATTGTATTTCAGTGGTTTATAATCAAACATCAACAAAAGAATGAATACAGAATGCTTGAATTTGGAAGATGGCCTCCATGAATTCTGACAGGCCAGCCTGTCAAACAATGAGCAAAGTTGCAGACAAAAGCATAGTGAGAACAGCAGCAAATGAAAAGAATAAACTCACTTTCTGGTGTCACATATGTATGATGGGTCAAAGCTTACGCTGATAGTGATAGTCAAGAGAATAACCCTCCTAAAACAGCAATTTACATAAGATGCAGTGATTCACATGCATGGTAAAGGATGGATCAACGATGATGGTTTACAAATATGGCTGAGGAACATTTGGAGTTAAGAGAATTAAGAGGAATGCCTTCTCATCTGGGAAATGTTCACACATTGCAATGATATTGTTGCTGAAGCTAGATCACAAAAGTGATTATATGATAATGATTCCCATTAGTCTAAACAGCCTTGTTCAATTACTGGACATCTGTCTAAACAAGCATAAAGCAAAAAAAAGACTAAATAATCAGAGCAAAGAAGATATTCACCATGGTAGGCAGCTTTTTCTAATTCATTCATGGGATGAAGGCATTACAGGCTAGCCTTTTATTGCATGTCAGAGTCAACCTGAGGGTCAATTGCTAAGGGTCTGGAGTCACGTGTAGATCAGACCAATGAGGATGGCAGTTTCCTTCCCTGAAGGACATTGCGAACCGGATACACAACACTACATACTTATTTAAAAAAAAGCTTAAGCAGGACTGAAAGGATTCAGATGCATCACCCTGGCTGCAACTTGTTCTTCAAGAATGGGAAACGTCACTGGCAAACCATTAACACAATCCACTGACATTTTACAAATCAATGAGCGTTAAGGTCAAATCATGCATATGATTACTCCAAAGGAAAGGAAGCTTCAGGAGGGCTCAAAGTTTGGTGCTGACTGGTGACATCACAATGATTGCTTTGAACAATCTTTAATGCCTTACAAGCTCGAGACAACATAAATCAACAACGCTGTGTTACCATGAGGCACAAACAATGCTCTTCACTACACTTTCGTGATTGAAATGGTTGAAGCTACTTCAGCATCTTGGGAAACAAGATTGTTGCAATACTGATGGAATCTTACAAACACTTTAAAATATTATACACAGGTTTTGGATGCTTTAATGAAGGAATTTCAAATTACTGTACTTCTAACAAAGACTTTATAATATTCTAAGGCTTTTTGATTTAATAGATAAGCCTCTTTGATAATGACACTTGACTTTATTTGATTTATTACTGTCACGTGTACTGAGATACAGAGAAAAGTGTCATCTTGCGTGCTTTACAGGCAGATCGTACCATACATAGAACACAGAACATAGAACATAGAACATAACAGCGCAGTACAGGCCCTTCGGCCCTCGATGTTGCGCCGACCTGTGAAACCAATCTGAAGCCCATCTAACCTAAACTATTCCATTATCATCCATATGTTTATCCAATGACCATTTAAATGCCCTTAAAGTCGGCGAGTCTACTATTTTTGCAGGCAGGGCATTCCACGCCCTTACTACTCTCTGAGTAAAGAACCTACCTCTGACATCTGTCCTATATCTATCACCCCTCAATTTAAAGCTATGTCCCCTCGTGCTAGCCATCACCATCCGAGCAAAAAGGCTCCCACTGTCCACCCTATCTAATCCCCTGATGATCTTGTATGTCTCTATCAAGTCACCTCTTAACCTTCTTCTCTCTAATGAAAACAGCCTCAAAACCCTCAGCCTTTCCTCATAAGACCTTCCCTCCATACCAGGCAACATCCTGGTAAATCTCCTCTGCACCCTTTCCAATGCTTCCACATCCTTCCTATAATGTGGTGACCAGAACTGTACGCAATACTCCAAGTGCGGCCACACCAGAGTTTTGTACAGCTGCAACATGACCTCATGGCTCCGAAACTCAATCCCTCTACCAATAAAACCTAACATACTGTACGCCTTCTTAACAACGCTATCAACCTGGGTGGCAACTTTCAGTGATCTATGC